ATCCAACACACACACACACACACACACACACACACACACACACACACACACACACACACACACACACACACACACACACACACACACACACAGAGAGAACACTTTGACAAACACATAGCACATAAACCATTAAAGACTAATTGAATCTAATTTATTTAGTTTTCTGGAAAGAATCATTTAAGGCAGAACTTCCCTAAGCCCCCCTCAATAAATGACTCTCATACCGTTTTACTCTCTTTTCAAACACAATTAAAAAATAATATATAAATATATACACACTGCAAATGACATGCATATAAGGAGTTCATTTTGGAGCCCGATCTCAGGTCATTAGTAACCCACCATGACGCTGTGGAGTTGGGGTCCGCTGGCGACACACAAGCCCCTGGCCATTTATTCTATATTAAGTCTTTAATGGGCCCTCTCTCTCTTTCTCTCTCTCTCTCTCTCTCTCCCTCCTGACACACAGCATGCAGGCTCAGCGCTGGTAAAATATGCACAGAAAGTCCGGTGCGCAAACACAGACAAAGCCATTCAAATGAATGGTTATTTATTCGCTAAACGAGGATCTGGGTGTTTAATGTTCCTTGGACGTTAGGTAGTTTTCTGGGGGAGGCAGAGCCATACCCCTACGGCTACAGACATCATTTATTTTACACATAGCCTAATACTGCACGCTAGGCAGCCGCTGAGAAAAATGGGCTTTGGAAGTGAGAAGGAGATATAAAAGAAATAATGAATAATTTTTTATTTTGGTGGTGGGGGGGGTGCTTTTGGGTGGGGGGGTGAACACATTAGCAGGGAGAAAAGCAAGGGGTAAACTTAAAGGCTTAAAGCAGCCTGTTTGCGTGTATGTGCGTGTATGTGCGTGTGTGTGTGTTGTTTGCAAATGTGAAGAGGAAGAAAAAGAGTGACAGAGCTAGAGAAGTCATCACCAGCATTACACAAATGTTTCAATATGTGTGTGTGTGTGTGTGTCACATTTTTGGAATCAGTGGGGAGGAAGGTGATACATGATTGTGTGCGAGGCTCTCGAGCTTCCATCTACATCTCATCCAAATGCAGAACATCACAACAGCAGAGGGGCTCCTCTTCTACACTACAGCACCTCCCAAATTTGACACAGCGAAGGTGCGATGTATCCATCAAAAGTAACTTTTTAACAAATGAAACATTATCTCTTTCTCTTTTGTCGCTTAAAAGACAACAGAAGTTTTCTGAGCTTCTCTGAAAACATTACAACCCACGAAACACTAAAAAGAAGACTAATGGGGTTAGTAAGTAAAAAATAATAAGGATATTAATCCAATATTCCATTATCAGCACACTTTATGTATTACTGTGTACAATAAATAAAGTACACATAACCATTGATTTTGATTTGTGTTGTGTACGGTTCATAGGAGTATATCAGAAAACTGTGCATAAGTCTTGAGCCACCACTCATTGCTTTATATTTTGATAGGAAAACAGGAAGTAGGCACGCATTCACACGCTTCCATGCATGGAAATACAGCATATAGGGCAAAAAGAGAGTTTGTACAATTATAGCAAACTTGGAAGTCAGTATTTGGCACTTTTATTCTTCAACACAGCTTGAACTCTTTCAGGAGTAGTCCTTCAGGCTTCTTGAAAGACGTTAGTTCCATCGTGTTTTACAAATGGCTGAAGAAACTCACTGTTTTATCTCTCACATGACCTCCTCTTGGATTCATCACTACATAGACCCTGTTGGTACTGATTTTCAGTCCAGTTCTTGTGTAGGTTGGCATACCGCAGCCTTTTTCTCCACATTTCCCTTCCTTAAGAATGACTTTTTGACAGCCATCCTTCCACTGAGACCATTTCTGATGTGGCTTCAGTGATCAGTAGATGGATCAGCTGCAGGGTCTGATGGAAAACTGCTTTCAAAATTTATCTGTCAGCATCATAAAAATATATATATATATTTCTCTTATGAGTGAAAAAGCAGTTAATGTGCAAAGAGAAACTTTAAAAGACCTTCAGAAAGCCTGGAGAACTTCTCCTAAACACCACTATGAAGCTTTACAAGAAAGTCTGCCTACTTGGAAGCAAAATATAAAGAAATGAGTGGTGGCTCAAAACTTTTTAAAAAGTACTTTTCATAGATCCTGTGATGTGATTTTTGGCATAAGACTGGTACTTTATTTAATAAGAATTTACCTCCTTATCTGTAGCCATCGAAGTGAGTACTACGGTCATCTCTCCATCCGAAAACTCCTTTACCTCCACAGTCAGCTGCTGCATCAAGTCTACATCCAGTCAGCACATATACAAACAGACTAACAGTTATATGAAACACACACATATAAGGATCCAAAACGGTTTCACAACAAATAACAGAAAAAATATATAAAGCATGAATTCCCTCTCCAGATGTGAAAGGTAAGTAAAACGATGTTACAATGCTGCAACAAATGCAATTTTTGCATTCATGCAAACACAATGCTGTCAGGAACAACACAGCCCTGTAATCTAATTAGACCTTATGTTAATACTGCAACGTGCACAGACTGTGCTCCACTGACAGCTCCCTCACTGTCCTGTTAGCTTTACTGCTCCTGCTAGGGAAAGATTATTTATACTGGTTTTACTGCTATTAGAGTTGATGTTGACACATGATTACAACCTGACTACAGATTTACTTGACGGAGTGATCAGGGTGGACTTTCATCAGTCCTCTAATACAAATTACTCATGGACAGTATTTCTGCTATGCGATGGTAGGAGAAGCAGGGCTTGTTAATAACACACTTCATGGTTCGGTGGTGAAGGGAGACTGATTCATCTTAAAGTAAAAGTCAGTAGCAAGAAAAAAAAAAAGCAGTTTCGCAAATAATTATTACCTGACACTAACCTGCATAGTAGGTAGGTTTAACAGTCTAATTGTTACAAACCTAAAGACTGAGTTTATTAACAAAACTAAGTTACCTTTTTGTAAAATAACACAAAATACAGTGCTTAACAAATTTATTATAAGTTTGCTGGGGTAAGTTACCAGTATTTATAATTACCCAAATCATTTTTTATGTTTCAGTACCCATCACTAGTATGCGCAAAGTCTTTAACTGAAAGAGCTTTTAAATTAATAGTTTTAATGCTAAATTATAATTATTGTTGTTGAATTTTAAAATTTACTGTTTTCCAAAAGAGTAGAAAAAAGGTGATGATGAAGAATATTATTCTTTTTTTTATTCAGAGGATTATATTTACTTCAAAAATTATATTTATTGCATTCCTGAAAAGGAAAAAATGTTGTAATGGTTGAATGTAATGATTAATTGATTTTCTGATTTCTCAGAGAACTCATATATATACATGGTCTCATAAATTTGTTAAGCACTGTACATGACATTGAAAACTGTTATATGAATATATGGCCAAATAGCACTGACTGGGTAAACAGTGCAGCGGTGGGCAATTAATTTTCCCAAGGGGCCGACGTGAGAAACTTGGACTGTTGTGGAGAGCTGCACCAATAAGCTTTTAAAGAGATAAAATAAATATTAAGCAGAACCGGGTTTGGCTTATTGCGGAGGGTCTCAGTTTCTCGTGTGGCCCCTTAGGAAAATTAATCACACGCCCTTATGCTAATGGGTGTATTAAGTAAGCTGGACACGACACGGCACTGACACTCAGCCTCATGACCAGTTTGTTCCCATGGCCCCAAAAAGCAACATTTTCCCACAACAAGGTCAGCTCTGACTCTTACACTTAAACTGATGTATTTTCAAATAATGAAGTCTCTCTGTCAGAGATTAAGAAAAACTTTTTTTCCTTCAAGAAATGCGATGCTATCTATGAGTCTAGTATTTGAGTGGTACAGACACTGGTTTGCAGATTTTACTGGATTGATCTTTGTAGTGACAATCAATTTATACATCACTGATACACTTCCAAGATAAGATGCTGAATGCAACCCAATATGATAACCCACTGGTCTGAAACTAGCTCACAGTTAAACTCAAAGTAATGGAATCATTGTTTCTTGCATTGGTTATACTTCCTCCCATAAAGTGCTATGAAATACGATGCACCTGCCGCTGTGTTGCTTTGATGAGCATATAAGAACAAAGCTATATCAGACTCTCTACTCCAGCCAGTCTCTCTGTTTAGATTCACTTTGTGATCGAACGCACACCTTGTAACTTCACTTCATTGTGCTCACCAACAGCGACTTCCCCCCATTGCTCCAAGGATTTCACGAGCTCCTCCAGCTGTGCTGAATGACGGCCATGTTTCATCCAAAAGGCTTCTGTCTGGAGTCGCAGGGCCTCTGTAGACACACGAAACAAGTGCAGAGTGCAATCGTCATGCTAACTCTGGCTCTCTTTCACAAGTTCATATACACAATCCGTGTAATGGTAGGTTGTCCCACGGATTAAGAGTGAAAAAATTAATCGCTAAAAGTAAATAATTACTGACAATTTACACTTCTGTTTTCCTACATTTCAGTATGATTAGTTACAAGGTTGTGCACTTGCTTGGGCAGGTTTACACTTAGTACTGTTTGTACATCACAAAGACAACACAGCACACAGAGAACGATTAACTCCTAATAAAATGAGACAGTAAGAATAATATTTAGGACATGATTTTGTTAGTGTATAAATAATATTAGGTGTTTGTGCTATTATTTTCTCCTTTTCATCAAGCGGACACTGAAAGACATTTTGTAAGAGAAAAGAAATCAGTGCAAGCAATAATTTTCTTTTATGCTTATGAAAAAAGTAAGTTTGGCTTTTTGGAAGCCGCTTGCACCACTGTGTGATCTCTCTAAATCATATTTGAGGATATCAGTGAATGAGTCTGATTTATCAGTCAACCAGTTATGTAAAAACAGCCTTAAAGTGTGAATTGTCTGTTTGGGATGTATACCCAGACCCCACCTCCATGATAACTGTCTTCTCAAAGACCTTATGTTATTTAGGGAAAGAGCTGAGTTCCTGTAGGAATCAAAGAACCTGTACAAAGAACTCTCCCAGAGAAATATGAGCAGTGGACTACTCACAGCACATGATTCTCCTGTTCTATTCATCTTTCTTTTCTGTCTCTGCACTTTACTCCTCTCTCTCTGTCGTTTCCCTCCATTCTCCACCTTAATTCACTTTTCCTCTGTCTGTCTCTCTGTAAATCTCAGTGAAAGTTGATGTAGAGCATTATCGAACAAGGATCAGATGCTTTCTGCAACCTAACCTCCACACAGGTGCCTAGCATCGACGTCTGGAGTACCTGTTTGGCAGGCTGTTTTACTGGCTTAACAACATGTGCACGGAAAGCATCTCAATTAAAGTTTTATGGGGAGTTATGGAGTTATTTTGTTATTGACGGCATAAAATATCATTACATGCAAAGAATATTTTACTCTAGCCTACACAGAAACTAGAAAGTTTTGTCTCTAATAGAGTTCACACGCATAGTTTACACATATTTTTGTTCTCTGCTCATCTACTTTTTTTCATTTCACGTTGATTTGTTGTGATAACTTTTGTTACTTTAGGAGGAAAATACAACTACCTGACAAAAGAGGAAAACAGACTAAGCTAAATTAAAAAGAAAAAAAGTCACATTACGGGACTCTGTGTGTCTCTCCGAGCTCTTACTTACTCACATTCACCACCCTTCATCTTTCTCGTTCTCGATCTCTCCTGGTGAGTGTTAAGCGAGTCATGTCAGGGGATTTGTGTGTGTCCTCCTTCATCGCCCCATTACTCCCCCTGGGGGGAGGGCGCCTGTGCTTCTCTCACCTCCAAGAATCTCCCCCAGCGTTGCTCTGATGTGCTCTGCTGCCTCTTGAAGAATCTCTTTGGTGACTGTCGTCACCGCGGACAATGCCCCATCATCCCCCGCGTCCTGCTGCCCGTCATGATAGACCACTCGCTGGATGCTGGACTCCAGAGTGCGGCACTCAGAGCTAGAAGAGGGAGAGGACGGGGGTGAAGGGGATATGGATGGCTGCCGGGGTAGGAGCAATGATCATGATTCATTTGCATAAATACAACACTCTTTTTTGTGTCATGTGGGATGAACACACACACACACACACACACACACACACACACACACACACACACACACACACACACACCTAAATGATCTTCCAAAATAATCTAGACATCAACAAATGGTCTTCGCTGCCAAAGCCCATTGCACCTGTGTATATTTGTGGTTTTGCGTGCACATGTACGGTACGTAAGTTTCCTAAATTTGAGCTGAACTGATCTGCAGACTGACCTGGTTCTTCTGCTGGTCTGAATCTGAATTGCATTCACCTGTCTAGCAGTCCATTTCTCAGCAGTGTGAGCGAGAGCCTTTTGGCGCGATGTAGTCTCATGAGGTCTACATCGTCTCTCCAAAGCAGCAAGCTCTCACAAAGCTTCACCCTCTTCAGATACCTCGCCGTCTCCTCGGGCAACACGGTGTCACATCTGCAGCCACACAGCACCGGCACACACACTCCACCTGATGATTCTCTCTTCAGATGCCCAAAGACACACAGAAAGCACATGAAGCCAAAAAGAAGTTGAAAGTACATCATGTTTGGATAAAAGTGTAGAATCTGAATGCAGCATTTCAAGAAGTGTCTGGTATCATAATTTCACCGAGTTAGCGGAATGCATATAGTGGAAATTACTGCACTTGATTCTACAGTGAGGCAATATTTTGTTTGATGTCGAAGTGAAAAATGGACATTTTATGCCCTGCTGCCACTCATCGGTTACATTTTTACCAAGGTAGTGTTTCAGCTTATACAAGTTGAGAGCGTTTTTTGGGGGTTTTTCATAAGCATAAAAGAAAATTATGCCACGAAAACATGATTTGACATGGGGGAGAGAGAGAAACAGCCACAGCAAAGTTCTCAGTTTTAATTGGCAGTCTGAAAGGTTTGGGGCAACGGTCGAGTTTTGTGAACTAAGCAAAGGAGAAAATTTGCACAAAAACTAGAGCTGTACATGACACATTAACACAAATCAAACAACAATATGCCAAAATGGATATGTAGAAGGCATACTAAATGTGGTTAGTTTTTGAATGTGCTGTCAGTAGAAACATTGTCCTACTGCATGCTGCACACAAATGGAGGAGCTGGAAATTAATTACATACATTGTGGATATATATGTGTTTGTTCCTCAACATAGCCTGAACTCTTTTCGGTCGGCTTGCTTGTAATTTTACGAATAGTTCTCCAAGCTTCTTTAAGGACACTCAAAGTTCTTCTATGGATGTCCTCAAAGTTGTGTTTTGTTCTGTTTTTGTCTCAGATGATGCTCCACTACTTCAGTAATATGAAGGTTTGTGTTCTGGGGAGGCCAATCCATGACTGATAGCGTTCCACTGTGTGGTTTTCTATCCAGGTTTTTTGTTTGTTTGTTTTTTTACTGCACTGGCAGTGTGTTTGTGACCATTGTCAAGCTAAAAACAATGTTGCTGCCAACCACGTTTCACAGATTCAGTTAAATAAATGGGAACATAGTATGTGTTTTTGCGACAGGCTGCTAGTAACAAAGTTCAATTTAAAACCAATTCTTTGCTGAGTTGTCCATTATGCGTAGACACAATTCACGTAGGTGCCTTATTTATGCTTGAAGGATTCATAGGTCACTATGAGGTCCTGGAGAACTAATGCTCAAGACCACTTTCGAAGTTACAAGGAAGTCTGGCTCCTTGGAAACAAGATAGAAATAATGAGGGGCGACTCTAAAATTTTTCAGGGTAATATATAAACGTGCAACACAAAGCACATGAACACAAACAGGTAGATATTGAAGTTACCTGGCTGAGGTGTAGAGCTAAGCACAGTGTTGCTGCTACAGTGTCAACATCTGGCTCAGGTCCACCTAAAACAGCATGGACGGGACCCTCTGATGCCTAAAAGAACAAAACGACCAATTTATTGTATCAGTATCTTTTCATTTCAGTATGATTGGAAGGACATTGTTGTCTCTTTATGTCCCAACCAAACAAAAGAACTGTGAAGCACTTTGATCTGCTAGCTGATGTACATAATGTACCAGCATCAAGCCAGCATGATTATGTTAGATGACTGCAGCATTTTGAAACCCAACCTGATGCATTAATAATGAAGTCACGGTGCTGCAAGGCTTAGCTCATGCTTGAAAGAAAATGCTTGTAAATACGCACTACACTACTGGCAAAATCCATCATGGGAGCAAAGGATCAGTCGAAATTAGCAAGAATAACTTTTTCACTTCTAACTCAGAGTAACACGGTTTATCAGAGAAGTGATGACTTCCATTAATTTCTGCAAACAATGAGAACAAACACTCCTCATTTAGGTTAAGTGGACGCTAATGACAGCTCCATTACAGACATTAAACATTCATCTCAGGGTGAAAAAGGCAGAAAATTATTTTTCCCCCTTCATTTGTTGACTGGGACTCTTAGTAGAAGATCTTAATACGGCAGATGATTCATGAACTTATCTCTGGACATTTATGTATTTTTGTTACAATTTGAAAAACGACACTCTTATTTAGCTGATTTAGCAGGAGACAATACAGCCTATTCACCTTTACTTTTTTTTAACAAAATCATCCTCAACCATTGAGCGCCCTCACTGGGTGCTCTTTCTATACCAGTCTTTAACATTTTATCTAAACATCAGTTAAGTGCAGATAATCTGAATCACCACTAGTGCAAGACACACCTGCACCCTACTCCAAAAGGACTAGCAGGGCTACAAGTACCTTTACAACAACGTCACTGGGTGCACGACAGTCTATCAAAGGTCAGTAACCTTGAGGCCACCGTACCCTCCTCCCAACTTAACCTCCATTCCACACATCTGCTCTTATATTTTTATGCTTTTACATTAGCAGGCTGATACTGATCTTTATAATTAAAAACTGCTGCATGCCTTTTAGTAGACTTCCAGTCTCTGTGTTATATGATAGTCAACGGCTGTCCTGGAATCAGTTAACACACTTACATTGTGATGGATTGACACCCTCTTACTTTTCTGAGCTTTTAACTATGCATTCTTCTAATAGATGATCAGATGCTTCTGGATGTTCCAAGAAGCAGAATAAAGCACCGAAGAGACCCGGCCTTTGCTGTAGTTACAGTTAAACTTTAAAGTTTAAATTAAGACCTCACCCAAAACTCAACGCTTTTGCTTTGTTTCTTGTTTGTTTTATGTTTTTTTGCTGCACATTTCTGCTCTGTTTTATCCATTTTAGTTGTACAGCACTTTAGTTAAACCTTGTTTTGTTTTTAAATGTACTTGTAATGTAATGCAAAAAATTGACTTGACTTTAGAAAATGGTCAGCACAAACAAACTCTCAAAGCACGTTAACTTGTTACTTTATCTGGTAATCCTGCTTTCATCTTGCAAGCCTTACAAACACTCAGCAAATCTGTTGACTTATCAAATACATAATGGAGTCCGGTAATTTAAGGGAGCTAAATGCCATAGTTAGACACATAAAGCACTGGTAATAGTGCATAAGGAATTGAGCCAGTGTCTTGTTTCTGTTCTTATGGCCTCGCCGCTCAGGCCAGAGGGATAAATGAAATGAGGGGTGAGGTAATGAAAGAGCAAAGCGCTCAGAGGGAGCGCAGAAAAAAAGATTTGAGGCTGCCTGATCATAAGAACGGAAGGAGTCTGGTTATACTGGAGGAAGGAGGCCAAGGAGTTTAAGAAAGGCTTATCAAAATGAGGAGCTGTAATATAGTTGGTGAGTCAGAGGTGTAGAAGAGGTGCAGGAAAGGAGAAAAGGAAAAAATGGAAGCCAAACAGGTAGAAAATGTGACAGGAAAGACAGAGAGGGGAGGGGCAGCGGGGAGGGCAATTTAAGAGGTAAAGCGGACGGGGGAAGTATCACAAAGAGGAAATAAAATAAGAAGCAGAAAGAGTACAGAATGTGTGCGAGGCAGAGAAGGATGGGGGACGGGCTCTCCTGCCCGTTCCTTCATAGCAGGGAGGGCAGCAAAATAAATCAATAGTAGATAGCCAGAGAAAAGGAAGTGATGCATTAGCAGGAGAAAAGGCCAATGTCTGTTCGACTGCAATAGGAGAACACTGGTGTGCGCGCACATGTGTACTGGCCACCTGATACCTTTCAATCTGAGTGCTCTCTTTCTCTCCTCCTCGCCTTTCTGAGCTGCCATATTCAAATCCTCTCCCCTCGTTTAGGTTTAGGACAGTTTTGTGAAATACATGAACAGCTGCTCTGATTTTATTTTTTATGTTTGCTTAAATAAATAAAGATTAAATGTAAAAACTACAAAATTTATTATTGTATTTGCTCTCAGCAAAAACTGAAATAGATTCATTTAAAAAAAAAATCACTCCCTCTCTAACAGTTGTGAGACACTTAAACAACCTAATTCAACCTAAAATAATTAAAAATATTTACACCTGTGGTTTTGCAATCATTGGACCACCCGGTTCTTCATTGTGCTAACTTAGAAATATCTATTAATCATTATTGGAGTCTCAGCTTCCACCTGAATCGTGCGTCTGTAGAACACACTGCAGAACCGCTATGATGATTTCCTCTTAATATAGAAATAATATAAAAAGTACACACAGAGAACAGCTGCTTCCTGGTGTGAGGTCATACTAATGTGCCGTAGTGATGTTTACATGATGTACACCCCTAAATTTCCATACACATGCTTCATTTCAACCTGACATCTTGGTCATATAGCTGAGGAACATATTGCAGCAGAATTCACACAATTTCTGCTGGGGAAGAAAGGAAAATAACAGAAATATTTTGGTGTAACAAATTGAAATGCTCACTAGATAAAGAGAAAATAAGATCACAAACCTAATTAAAAAGTTCCAGTTCACGAGATATTGGATTTCAATGCTAATTTTCAATTAGGAGTTTCTATATAACCTTAAAAGTTACTCATTTTTGACTGAAGCTGTGGTCTCTCATCCATCCGTCCATCGGCTTATCTAAGTGAGAATCACAGAGTTTATCCCAGCTGTCATTGGGCAAGACATCAGTACACTCTGTTCAGGTCACCACTCCATCACACGAGTAACACAGAGAGACAGTCACACTCAAATTCACACCTAATCACCTGTTAACCTGACAAGTGTGCTTTTACACTGTGGGAGGAAGCCGGAGTACCTGGAGAGAAGCCTCAAAGCACAACAAGGACATGCAAACTCCACACAGAAAGGCCCCTGTAGTGATGACCGATTAATTGTATCATCTTTGCCACCAAACAATGTATATGCTCAATAAAACACTGCAAAAGGCAGCCTGAGTTGCAATGAATAAGGAAAGTCAATTTATGCATGGACCATGCATTCACGCAGACACGCTGGTGAGCATTAGGCTACTATGCTCACAGCAAAATCTGCTTTTTTGCAAATATATCCTCATTCCAATGCTTAAAAGTGTTATCACGCATTAATTTTTCTGACATCACATAGGTCTAGGAGTTTATTTAATTAGATAGATAGATGTCTCAACAACAAAATCTATGTGATGCTCTAAATAATTCTAAATAATTAAAGAGAGAAAAATGACAAATGTTAGCACATCCCAACATACAAAGTTTTAAAATGACCTGTTTCTGAATGAAGGCGCAAACAAAGCCAATTAAAGCAGTCCTACGACTCTGTTTTTTTGTGGTTGCATGTGTGATAGTGTACAGATTGAGAAAGACAGATGCGCGAAGCGCACTCAGCATGCCGCTTTAGCTCGATGCCAAATGTCGTAAGAGTGAAGGAGTTAGAGCCGTGGAGCTACACAGAGCAAATCTGAGTGAGAAGGAAAGATGGCTTCAGTAAGTTCTAAGAGCCAACATAATTAGAGGTATTGCTGTTCTGGACCATAGCCATGCAGAGAGTGGAGAGAAAGCGGGATGAGTAGAATGACAGAGACGAGAGCGTGGTCAGCAAAAGAGTGAATCATCAAAGTTTACATTAGAGAGCTACGAGAGAGAGAGGGATAAAGTGCCCTCGCACACTATTTGTACGTGTGTGTGCATTTGTGTGCGAGAGAGAACTGAGGAATGGCCGTTAATCGTGACATGTGTGACACCTTATCTGGATCTGACATGACACTCATCAGTCGTCCCCTCTTATCACTCAATTACCTTGCTGTGCTCTGATCTGCAGATTTGCCTCTTTGAGCTTTTCTTCTCCCCAGATAAAAGGTCTTAAACTCGCCTAAAAATTTAATCCCAGACAGGTTTGCATTGTGCTGACAGACAGCCGTTTACACAGATAAGTGAAATATTGTATTGTAAGTATATTAATTATTGTAAGTATTGTACGGTGGGTAAGAAATGCTGCAACCCTGCATGTTGGGTTACAACAACAATCGGTGTCCATAACAACATATTTTCCCTGGTATTCCCTTAACTAGAAATCACTTTGTTCATATCATTTTATTACGGCCTATCGCAGACACCTATATGCAATTACTGTAATAACCGGGCAATATCAAGACAGAGATTTTTCTCTGAAATATTTATCTCAGCTTTGACGTGCATCAGCAAGCTCAGGCAATTATGTACATTACCCTGTTACACTACTCCTTAGGACACACACACACGCACACACACACACAGCCTTTATCTGCTGATGAAAAATATGCTTGAGGGCAGCTACTAAATGGGCCATGATGTGAGGCTGATTTCTCAATGTATAGGATGTTTAAGAGAGGGTTGTGAGAAGAAAAAATATTAACTTTAAGACTCAAAAAACTGCTCTGTTTTGGTTTAGTATGTGCTCATGTGTGAACGCCAATCAAGTCCTCTCAGACTGTGTGGTGGGTGTTTTCCATCACCTCCAAAGAAAATAAGGAGCAACATAGCAAAACTAAAACTATTAAAGTCATATTTCAGTACATGGTGTACAGTAGAGCATCTGACACAGACAGATATTTCTGATCATCCCCTTCCTGGACATTGTAAAGAAATGATGCTAAGCCTTGCCAAAATATGATGTCCCAAATATGACAGAGACAGTATTAACAGGAAATGAATACCCTTTTTGTTTAGTGTGTTTGTGTGTAAAGGGGATGGCGACACACACATACAGACACTAGGGTCTCTCAAGCACATGCCCAAAAAGCAGTTTTAGGGTCCTCCATGAACTCAAGGCATGTAGACCACATATCTGTTACAACATAGGCTGGATGTGCCCCTGAACGCAACATAATGCTTCACAGATGCTCTACGTTCATTTGATCCGTATAAATTAAGCTGTTTAGTATTTGCATGAGGCTTTTTTGACAGTGTGCGAAGAGATATTCAGCTCTGGATCAAATGCAAATTATGAGTCAGTATCTGCAGAGCAGCCAGATAGCAGGGAAGGACAGCCTCCGGCTAAACTTGTTGATGTCACGCCTTCCCCTCATTAGAAATCTCCTCATTCAAATTCACACACTGGTGTTCCTGTAAACACAACGTGCTTATTGTATTGGACCAAACACGCCGTTCTTTTCCTTTTGTGCTGTCATACTGGCGATCTACAGGTGCTTTGGGGGGTGGGCATGGGGGGCGGGAAGACCGAGGGGACGTGAGAGGCGTTTGCCGTGCGCTTTTCCAGCAACAGGAACGCAGCCTGTAGCACAGCAGTAGCAGCTTTCCCGTCATGGTCTCATTCATTATACCCGCAACCTGGTGTTAACGCCGCTGAAGGCTCTTAACTCACCCCGAGTCTGCTCTGGACCCTCCGCAAATACTCTTCCATGTCGGCCTGCGTCGCTACGGCGCTGTTGCAGATCTCTCCATAGACCAAGTTTCGGCAATAAGGCAGCTGATGTGGGCTTGTGTTTTTTCTCCCCCCTCTCTCCTCGCTTCCGAGTCCCCCGCTGCGCTCGCACTGCAGCACTCGCTGCTGCCGCGAGAGACGTCGGTCCTCCCCTTCTCAACGGGGCGAACCCACAACACCGAGCAGTGGGTGTGACGGTAGGAAGAGAAGATCCGACGGAGGCGCGCTCGGTGATTCAGCCGCGCACCCTGCGGTGGTAGGAGCCCCCCTCCCCGCCCTTCGTCCTTCTCCCCCGCCCAACCCCTCCTCCCCGTGCACATTAACACATCCCTATCCTATCCCATACAGCCTCAGATGAGACCATACTGAATTTAGTGAGTGATGAGTGCAGCCTAGCGCTCCAGCTTTACGTTACAGCACGCTGCTGGTTTGGCTCTATTCTTAATTTGAGGATATTCACACTTGTGGTGCACAGGGGAGGAAAAATGCCGCAATATGATAACAACCACAGCCAAAGAGCACCGCAGTACCTTTCTGGTACGGGCGTGCTTTCACAGGGAGCACTTTAATTAACCTGAAAGATGTCCCTGTGAGGAACAGTAACACACACACGCACACACACATAGGAAGTCAGCCAATCCTGAAACTTTAATATTTAAAAGAGGTCGTTTATCATTGGTTCATTGTGCCACTGGGTTTAACTCTTTAACCCCCCCCCCCGCCCATTTGGTTTCTGATAAGTCGACTACACTCAGATTAATTATAAAGTAAAAGTAATAAAGGGTCACGTCAATTAACATCCTTGATACTTTTTTACTTATCGAGCTTTGGCTCCATTTGCCAGTTCGTGAAAAACAACTGAAAACTCATGCTATACTGTACCAATGCCAAATCTTGTTTGTGATAAGAGTAACGAAAATGGAATGATAACCAAATAAATCAGCATGGACTGTGGTTATTTTCTTATAACAGGCCATTAAAGGACAAAAAGCAAACTGGCTGGTGTATCACTACATTAGAGACAATCCCCCATATAATGCACAAATGTTTGTGTGTGTGTGTGTGTGTGTGTGTGTGTGTGTGTGTGTGTGTGTGTGTGTGTGTGTGTGTGTGAAAGAGAGAGAGAGTGTGTCTTTTTCACATGGCTTTTAGCTCAAATACCACATTTATTGGAATCCATGGTTGCCTAACTGTATTAATGCATCAGGCACTATGAGCACTACTGTGAGCATCTTGCTTCTCCATTTGTGGTGAAAGCAGTAATACTCTGCTCTAAATGCGAGCTCTGTTAGAGCTATGTCCCTGCAGAAAGCCAAGAGGGCTCTTACAATATTCAGACCAGATCTAATCAGTTCAAAATAAAAGTTATTGTTTCCTGAGAAACAAAAAGTGATAGACAGTTTGTTAATGACTATCTATCTATCTATCTATCTATCTATCTATCTATCTATCTATCTATCTATCTATCTATCTATCTATCTCTCTCTCTCTCTCTCTCTCTCTCTCTCTCTCTCTCTATATATATATATATATATATATATATATATATACATATTTCAAACAATATGGGAAGGGTTACTTCCCTTCAAGGCTTTTCTACATGAAGTCACTCAAAATTAGTAAGACACTCTAACAAGGTGGATATGTGAAACACAATGAAGGGTAAGGTGCAAAAGGTCACCAAAAGCCTTAAATATCGAGTTTCCCCTGTTGCTATATTGTCAGTGGAAATAGATTTTCTTTATATATTTTTTTACATTTACATATACATAACGTTACCCCCTTCATTGTGAACAAGCTGTAATGGTAGATTTAGTGTGTTCCTGTGTCTGGGAATGTCCAAGGAATTACAGTAACTTTCACAATAACAGAGAAGCGTGAGCAGGCACAGACTACACCTGAGCAATATATTGTCACTGTCCTGCTCTAGCCTGTAACTACTATCTGTATTTGCAGGAACATTTTAGAATATTCCTTCAAAGAATGCCTAACGACTGCCAGAAATTCTTTTGCAGGTTTTCTTTATCAACAGCAAAGAGGATACATTTGCATATGCTCATCATAACACAGGTTCATTCCAGGTTTATTCACTTGTTTATTTATGATGTGCAAAGTAATTAAATCCATCCTGAAAACAAGGTGACCCCATGGAATCAAAACCAGTTTGCTGCTGCAATGTTTGGGCCCCTTCAATGAAATGAATTTAAAGATTATGATTTTGTTTTGTTAAAATTGTCTCATTTTTCTACACTTTATATCTCAATTTCATAATAAGAGCGTCACAAACACTGAACACTGAAAAAAGCATTACTGCAAGTCCTGATTTGGATTTCTGCAACATTTCCAGTGTGACATTATGACAGACAGCACCACTTGATGCTGGCTCATACTCAAAAAGATGCTGCAAATTCGGTATTTAGTTTGTAGACTCTACAAAGTGAAAGCACGCATATGTTTGGGGAAAGTAAATGACCGATTACAAAGCTTTTAGACTAAAACGTTTGCTTTTAATTGCTGTGACAGTTTTTATCCTGTCGCTGTGTGGTCGAAGTTTCACGACGAGATTTCGGGGAAGAATTCTGGTTCTTTGCACCTAATCAGTTTCTGTGAAACGGGAACTCAAGACAGTTTTACCTGAGGTGACTGAAAGATTCTTGAAGGCCAACAGGAAGGCAACAGGCGGACCATCCTAGCTGTGATCCATTAATGCTCCCCTGGCTCGCTCTTTTATGGGCAAATTGTAAGATCTGTCGTATTTTGCCACTAAATAATTCCCCATCACGCAAGTGAGCCTTACAGCGTCTGCACTACAGTCCTAAACCGGCTTAATTTTCCATTGAAAACAATAGGCCGCGCTAATTGATTTTAATGGCTCTCTCCGCGACGATGCGCCCCTTATGACTTGGAGAGAGGTCTTTAAGATTATTATTATTAGTATAATTGCCATTACCCCCACACTTTCCCTTTGCGAATGGGAGACAGAGAAAGAATATCTTTGCCCTTAAGCTGAACAAATAATTATTAGAGACTGGAAACAAACAGACGACCGTCATTCACACGCGCGCCCACTTGCGCGCACGCACGAACACACACATGTCTCTCCACCTTAGAGAGGACCCCCTCCTGGCGACCCTCATTCCCTCCGCCGCCCTCTTCGTGCAGCGTGCCGCTTGTAATTTATGCAAAATTAATTGATACATCTTTTATAATTGATGTGCTGTAAACTTAATGAGTAATTTATGTAATTAGTCAATTAAGGATAATTCCAGCATATGTTCCATATGCCCAGAAGGTGTGCTTTACAACTAGTTATTTGTCCAGGAGTTGGGTGCAAGCGAACGCTGCCGTAGACTACCTAATTAATTTTGTTATGCAGATCAGCTACGGTGTCTATTTAACGGCCCCCTTTGTGAAAACAGATTTAATATTGATCTTTCCCGGGCGTTTTAAGAGGATGCTTTTACCCGCCCTGGCCTCGGAGGGCCTCGGTGTTTCAAATCTCATTTTTCAGGCGCAGGGAAAATAGTTATTCGGAGAAAACAAAAAAACACAAGCGCAGCATCAACTGTCTTTTAAAATGTTCCCTCCTCGTCAAGCAAAGTGGCACTAAAAAGTCATTTTCTTTGCAATTACATAATGTCTTTAAAATATGCTCTCCGTTGACACGGTTGACCTTTTGAGTGGGCTTGAAGGACCGGGACATAACGGGAGTGATACACCGGCTAATTAATTGACACAGTTTTGAATATTCATACCTAATACAGCGAGCTTGCCCTTAATTACATTGTTGGACTTCTCTCTTAGGAGGCTAAATCACGGAAGGCTTAATTATTGTAATGTATTCGAGGGCCCACCGGGGCACCGCGGAAGACAGGAGCCGTCAAGGACCCAGTCATGACACCTGGCCAGAGGAGAAAAAACTACGAGGAGGGAGGGGGGCTTTTTGCGGTTCTCCGCTGAACAGAATTCAGAGCAGGGGATGAAGTTTGTTTACATCCTTGTAGGATTCACCAGAGAGTGTTTGAACAGACAGACAGCCGCCGGACTCCCCTCTCAGCAATTAATCAACAACAGCGCCTCTCTCTCTCTCTCTCTCTCTCTCTCTCTCTCAGTGTGTTTTTGTGTGTTTCTGTGCGAACGAGCTGGTGTAATTGAGAGCAGAAGAGAAGCGCACTGATGATTGTGCGCAAAGGAAGACATGATTTATTGTTGGCAAAGTCTGAAAGTGCAATCGAGCAAATTTAACAAAGATGCTGTATTTATATATTCTATTCTTTACTATTTGTTTCCTCGACTCGAATGGGGGAGATTTCAACGCAAATCCACGCTCTCCGTCACAGTTCTTTCACCGCAGACACACAGATGACAAGGCAGTCTTTATATGTGAAGCAACTGAACACTTTAATACTATAACATTACATGACTTTTGGTGCTGTTTAAAAAATTGCAGGAGAGGTCAAAGGTCAAGTTTATTCGCAGAGAAAATGCCACAAAACCTTTGGTGATTTTGTTGTCTTGCTCCAAGACATTTCAGGAGATTCGCCACTTTAAACGAAGATTAGATGTTAAAATCGGTCCAAAAGTGTCAATTTTGTCCTCGTGTACTTTACGTGGGAGTCTTTGATTGGTAAACAGCAAATTAGACGCAAAGGCATGTGCTGAACGCACATCCTCTCATGTTTAT